ATGGTGTTTCTGCACGGCCATTACCTAGGTACTGTGACAAGCAACTTGCTAGTGGTTGTTGTTATTGTTAATTATTATTGATATTGTTATTCTTTTTATTATTGTTATCATCACCACCACTTAAATAGAAAACCCATAGTATTCATTTCCACTGTACTTAAATCTCTCTCTCTCTCTCTCTCTCTCTCTCTCTCTCTCTCTCTCTCTCTCTCTCTCTCTCTCTCTCTCTCTCTCTCTCTCTCTCTCTCTCTCTCTCCTCTCTCACTCTCACTCTCACTCTCACTCTCACTCTCACTCTCACTCTCTCTCTCTCTCTCTCACTCACTCTCACTCACTCACTCACTCACTCTCACTCACTCACTCACTCACTCACTCACTCACTTCACTCACTCTCCCTCTCACTCACTCCCCCTCTCACTTCCTCTCCTCTCCCACCTCTCCCACCCCCCAGCACGAGCTATTCGCTTACGTCACTTCCGGGGCGACCGAGAGCTGAAACCCATGGCCGTCGATTCGCATTTTGACGCCGATTTCCAGCAGTCAAGGCGGCTGGCAAAGGAGGTCCGACTTTTGCCAGGCGATCACCTAACTGTAGGTCAGTCGAAGTTGTCAAATACCCGTTGCATTTCAAGGCATGACAGTTTTTTAAGACTGTATATGTATATTTTCGGTCAATATATCTATCCTTTTTAATGAGGGATTATAGTTTTTTTCCTCCGAAATATCTATATTTTGCTATTACTATTATATTTATTTTTATTATTTATTATTTTTTTTTTTTTTTTTTTTTTTTTTTTTTTTTTTTTTTTTTTACAAGCTTGTCTATTTTACCTTTATTGGCAGGGGATGTCTGTCGAAGTTGCTGATTACCTTCCTCAAAGCGTTACAGAGAGGTCATTTTCAGCTGTTATGTCTTGCTGTCACTCTCACAGCAGGTCATCCGTGTCAAGTGCAAAGTTCACAGGTCATTTGCAAACCAATCTCCCCCAGAATGCGACTACGACAGCCGTGGCAGAAACAGGTCGACCTTCACGGGCTGGGCGGCGGAGGACGAGATGTGCCAGGCCTTCATCAACTACTACCCGCGCGTCGACATGGCGCTGTGCCGCTCTTCGCCCCACCCGGACTCCCTGGCCGAGGCCTTCGCTCTGCCGCCCTTCCAGAGGTAGGTGGTGGTGTGTTTTGTTGCTGTTGTTTTGTTGGTTGGTTATCTGGGTGTGATTATATTTTTTGTCAGTATGAAGGGGTTTCTTTTCCAATCTTAGTTATTTTCTGGATTATCATATCCTTTTGTGTCGCAGCATAAAGTTACCTAAGCCATGCCAAGCCACCGCAACGCAAGACCCCCAATCGAAATCGCCGAAAATTCTCTTCTTTTTTTTTTCTTCTCCTCTCCCTAATCCAGGAACCTCGACCTGAACACCTTCATCTTCGACCCCAAAGTAGGAGGCGAAGGAGAAGGAGGAGGGGAGGGGGAGTCCTACCAGGAGAGACTGCAGAGGATGCCCTGGAAGGACTTCGACTTCGGGAGAGCCAACGCTAAGCTGCTCGAGGGCGAACAGGTCGTCAAGTGCCAGTTGAACTATGGAGTCAGTATGAAGGGAGAAGGGGGAAGTAGGAGAGGAGGGGGAGAGAAGGGAGGGAGGGGGGGAGAGAGGTTGAGTAGGAGGAGAGGAGGGAGAGGGGTGTAGTCAGTATGAGGTAGGAGAGGGGGAGGGAAAGGAGGAGGGGAGTGGGGAGGAGGAGGGGGACAGGAGAGGAGGAGTGTGGAGGAGGAGGAGAGGAGTATAAGGAACAGGAGGAGGAAGGGAAGAGAGTAGGAGAATGGGGAAAAGGAAAAAGAAGAGGGGGCGTAAGAGTAGGAGGAGGAGGGACAGAGGGTCAGAGAAGTTTTATATATGTATATATGTATGTTTATTATATATATATATATTATATATATTATATATATATATATATATATATATATTATATATGTGTGTGTGTGTGTGTGTGTGTGTGTGTGTGTGTGTGTGTTGTGTGTGTGTGTGTGTTGTGTGTGTGTTGGTGTGTGTGTGTGTGTGTGTGTGTGTGTGTGTGTGTGTGTGTGTGTGTGTGTGTGTGTTGTGTGTGTTTGAACACACACATATACTGTATGTGTATGTATGTTTTTATTTTTTTTTTATTTTTACTGATGGCCAATCACGTCGACTACCACATGTATTCACCACCATCTGGCATGAACCACCACCCATCATAACACTCATCACCACCTTCACCACAATCCTGAATTCACCACCCTTCCACCACCACCACAACGACCAACCTTCTCCCTCCCTCCCCCCTACGTAGGGTGAGACAGAGACAACGGGGAAAGAGAAAGGAGAAGAGAGAGAGAGAGGGAAAAGGAGAGGGGAAGGAAGAGAGAAGGGGGGAAGGGAGAGAGAGAGGAAAGGGATAGGGAAGGATGAGAGAGAGAGGGAGAGAGGGGAATGAGAGAGAGAGGAAGGGGAAGGAAGAGAGAAAGAAAGAACCAAAGAATGAGAGCAGAAATCGAGAGATAAGAACAGAAAGGGAGAGAAAAAGAGGAAAGACGAGAGGAAGGGAATGAGGAAAGGAGAAAAGTTAAAGAAACAGTATATAAACAAATCACAAATATGTCAGCCGAAACCCCGCCCCCCTTTTCCAGATACCAACCAACACCACCCGATACCCAGAAGCCACGCCCTTCGTCCCACCCGAGGATCCCGTTTGCTCCCGACTCCGCCGCCCGCCGCCCACCGGACACGCCCTCACCAACGACGCTGAAGGCGGGGCAGCTGCAGGGAGGTCGAGGGCGCTGCTGGGCGTGGCGGTCGCTCTCCTCGCCTTCGCTGGGCGGAGTTAAATGGGTCACGTGTTTGTCGCTCTGAATTTTGTTTTTCTTTTATTTTCTTGTGGGATATGGAGGATTTTTTGCGGATGTTTTTGTTAGTTTGTGCGTGTGTGCGTGTGTGTGTGTGTGTGCGTGTGTGTGTGTGTGTGTGTGTGTGTGTGTGTGTGTGTGTGTGTGTGTGTGTGTGTGTGTGTGGTGTGTGTGTGTGGTGTGTTGGTGGTGTGTGTGTGTGTGTGTGTGTGTGTGTGTGTGTGTGTGTGTGTGTGTGTTGTGTGTGTGTGTGTGTGTGTGTGTGTGGTGTGTGTGTTGCGTGCGTGTGTGTGCGTGCGTGAGTTGAAGGGTGGGTGATTTTCTTGCTTTTGGGAGATTACTTTTTTTTTCTTTTATTATTAGCAATAATGTCCCTTTTGTTATTTCTTGGCGCCAGTTTTCAAAATCCTTTTCGGGAGCGGTTAGTTCTGCATTTTTTTTTCTTTTTATCTCTTTATTCTTCCGTGGAGGATTTTGTACCTTTTTATTCAAGAGAGATGTAGTTTTTATTGTTTGGTTTATTTGTTGTTGTTAAGAGTTTATTTAAGGGGAAGGCGGTTTCTTTTTATATATTGAAAGGATTGCATTTTCTTAATGTTTGGACATCTTTTTTGCCATCGTATTGTTTATGTTAACTTCTACTTTTATTTATTCATTTTTTGTTTTGTTTTTGTTTTTATGATTTGTAGGTTTTCACATTGTTTTTATTTTTGTAATTTGTTCGTTTTTTTCTCGATGGCTAAGATTAAGGTTTATCATTGTTCGATACTCCGCATTATCATTTTTTTTTCTTGTAATTGTGGAATACAGGATTTCTTATGCCTGTTCTTCGTTTATGTTCATTTATCACTGTTTCCTTTCGTCTATATTTTCGAAGACTAAACTATCCTCTGTATTATAATAATAATAATAATAATAATAATAATAATAATAACAATAATAATCATCATAATAATAATAATAATAATAATGATAATGATACAAAGGAAATGTAAAAAAAAAAAATCCAATATACTTGTCATCCTCATTGTTTCCCTCTTTGTTCATTTTCTTTTTTTCTCTATTTTTCATTTCTTCCGCTCATTTTATTTTTGTGTTCCAGGCCTTCTCTATATATGTGCCTCATCTCATGTTAGTTTATAGGCCTTGTATAACATTCATCCCTTGAAAACACATTAAATACAGTATGTGAGTGAGTGAGTGAGTGAGTGAGTGACCAGAGAGAAAATTAATATAAATCAGTGAGTGTTAAGATGTACCTGAGTATAAGGGAGAATGACTATGTTAGAGAGTACATGCTTAAGAGCAGAGAGAATGAGAGAGAGTGTGCTGGAATATACAAGAATGAATAAGCATGAGAGAGTGAGAGTGAAAATGTATGAGCATGTGCATAAGTGCATGGCAGCATGAGCGAGTTTGACAGCAAGTTTGTGAGTCTGAGCACAAGTGAATAAGCATAAGAGTCAATGATCCAGTGCTTATGAGAGAATGAGAGTGAATATGAATTTGAGAGTTTGAGAGTGCATGATCCTGCATGTCCTTCAACTTAGTTGAACCGGCACTCCTTTAAATCCATAAAACATTAGTGTAAAGAGAGAGAGAGAAAAAAAGTCTATCTTTAAACTCTGTGCTTTTGTGATAACTGTAGCATGTGTGCAATATATATCATATGGAATTTCCCATTTTTACTTTTTTTCCTCTCTAATTCTCCATTTTTTTTTTTCTTTACTAATTCTCTCTCTCACGTCTTTTTATTTCTCCTTATATTACAAGCTTGCTCTAGTGCACTCTCTCTTTCATCTTCCTTCTACTTTTCCTTTCATTCAAATGTTATTGCCAGTCTCTCTCTGGATTTTCTTTCCCATTTCTTTTTATTCTTTATTTTTTCTTTCTTTCTCTATCTTGCATATTCTTATATACATTTAGGTGCACACAGTATTTTTCTTTCATATTACCTCAAGTGTGTTCTTTGAAAATATTTGATCTTTGTTGAATCGGTTGGTGCTTCATTTAAAAAAAGACCGATGTCTTGCCTCTAGGCATTAGCAGTCATACAAAATGCTTGTGGAAAAATATAATTTGATCTAATCTCACATGTAACAATATTAATTTATGATTAAAATATTTATATGGTAATATTTTAAACCAATTTTCTCATAATAAGTATCAATATTTAATTATTACTATCATCATAAATATTACCATTATTTATATAATCACCAATTCTTGTTTACTATAATAACTGTGTTTCCTAAAAGAAACACCGATCCTTTCCATTTGCAATGTCAAAAAAATACACTTTAATTTTCCTAATAAATAACCTACAATGATTGTTATTATTCTTCCTTTTCCTTTTCCCTTTTTTCTCCCGTGGGATACATACAACAACAACAAAAAAATGTTATACTGCAATGACACTGTATTAAAAGCAAATTTGAGTAGCTGTACACATACATATACAGTACATGAAATTGAACATAGACTCTGGGTGTAAAAAATTTTAACATAAAACCAACAGCAAAAACCAGGTACAGAGTTGGGCCCAATCACACCTCTTATCCTCGTTGAAGACCTAACCTAATGATAAAGAGAAAAGAAAAAAAAATAAACAAGACATTCAGCTCATCAATACACTTTTCATAAAACTGTAACAACAAAATAAAAAAAAGAGAGGTTTTAAAAGTATTCTCTGCTTTTTTTAATCCCTCTCTCTCTCTCTCTCTCTCTCTCCTTTCTCTCTTTTTTCTACTCTTTATACATTTATAAAATAGGATATAACGATAAGATCTTAATCTTTATAGACAGCTATCTAATGTCGACAAAGACAGAATTAAATAATGCACTCTAGAACAATTCAAAATATCGTAAAAGAAAAAGAAAAAAAAAATTGAACGCGAACGTCAAATGAATCGAATGCAAAGGGGATCATCATCATCATCATCATGCTTGTTAAGTACATTACAGTTTGGCCTTTTAGACACAATCTCTTGCTTGGCCCTGTTGGAAACAAGACCCAAATAAAGCATTCATCCATGAGCCATCCTTCAGATAGAGTTGCATTAAAATATTCTGCAAGTCTTTGCAAACCTCAAAAAATTTAGATTGCTATGTACAAGGAGACATGAATTGTATTCAGTGCTGGCAAGTTCCTGTCTTCACTAGGGATTGGTTGCCTGTGGCTCTGTGGAAAAAAATAAGTCTTTCATTGTATTAACATATATATAAAAAAAGAAAGAGTGGAGAGAGAGAGAGAGAAGAGAGAGAGAGAGAGAGAGAGAGAGAGAGAGAAGAGAGAGAGAGAGAGAGAGAGAGAGAGAGAGAGAGAGAGAGAGAGAGAGAGAGAGAGAGAGAGAGAGAGAGAGAGAGAGAGAGAGAGAGAGAGAGAGAGAGAGAGAGAGAGAGAGAGAGAGAGAGAGAGAGAGAGAGAGAGAGAGAGAGAGAGAGAGAGAGAGAGAGAGAGAGAGAGAGCGAAATGAAAGAAAGGAAAGAGAAACAACAAGACAAATTAAGAGAGGAAGGGAGACACGAAAAATAAGTTAAGAAAGGCAAGCACATAAACAGTGATGATGACAATCCACTACTACTCGATCTATTTCCTCTTGTATTCACACAGCCAAGTTATTATGGTACACTCTACCATTTAGAAAGGAAAAATCAAATGCCATTTCCTTCGTGGAAGAACTGGCACCAGAAGTCTAACCATTCACTCAAACAGATATATACCACATCATACATTAAAAAAAAAAAAAAATAATAATAATAATTTTCTTTCTGTAATCCTAACCACTAGAAATACTGTACTTGCACCTTGAGAGATGAATTGGACATCAAAAAAAATACTAAAGGAATATCAGAAAAAAAAAAAAAGAGTTGACACTGTCATTGTCTTTTCACATTATCATGTAAATCTTGAAATATCACTTGACCACAATGCATTAAGACCTTGTACAAATTGAGTGCGATTTGCTGTGAACAAGTATGGGTAAGGAAACCTTTGACAATATACCTATGACAGAACAGCTTTAGAAAAAATGCACACCATTTCTAAATAAATTTACAAAGATCCTTCATTCTCCTCATATATATATATATATATATTATATATATATATATATATATATATATATATATATATATATATATATATATATATATATATATATATATATACTGTATATATAACTATATCAATAATAATCACCGTCATAATGATAATAATAGTAATAGTAATAATAATAATAATAATAATAATAATAATAATAATAATGACAAGTTCAAATGTGTATGTACACGAAGATTCTAAGTGTTTCTATACAAAAGAGAGTAAAACTTAAAAAGACATTACACAATGATTGCTTTCTTGGTCATGTCCGTCACTGGTCTTATATTCTTACACACAAACCTTTATAAATGCTGAGCCAGGAGGAATAAGACTATAATCCTATGGTACAAAAAGTTGGGATAAGATTCAGCATTACAGAATCATGATGGTAACAGCAATAACAGTACAGTAGTAGTAATGATAATAATTATGATGATGATAATGATAAACAACCAAAATAATAATGATACTGATACTAACATCACTGATATTAAATGAGTAAGAATGATGGTAAATAATAATAATAACAAAAGAAAAAAAAAAATCAAGAATCATAACGTATATTGATAACAATAAAATAATAACAGTAATTAATATCAACAGTAATAGATTAACCAATTTCTTTTATCACAGTCACATACACACAGACAAGTAGATAATGTCTGGCTGTGTCCTTGCATCAATTTGTTTGTCTGTCTGCACCTACCTATCTCTCACTATTTTTTAATTACAAAGACAATAATCTAAACCACATTATGGAAAATAGTAAATAATAACAACAGTAATAATAATTATCTTAATAATAATAATAATTACTATAATAATTATCACAATACTAAAAGAAATGATAATAAAAGCAATAATAACAGTAAAAAAAAAATAATAATAATCACAAAAATAATAACAATAATTTTCCGACTACTGTTCCCATCTGCTTGACCTATTATGCCCCCCCAACAATCCCCCAAAGCATATACGAGATTCAGTTGCTTACCTGGTTGAATAAAAAAGCAGTTTCAAATGCAATACTGCAAACTACTCAAAGAACACTGAGTAAAAAAATAATAATTATGTCATAATTATAAAAATACATCCATTACAACCATCCTATGTAAACACAATATATAGGATGT